AATTAGACAAAAAGATAAAAAGGCTTCGTTCTGATAGAGGGGGAGAATATGAATCAAATTCTCTTAAAACACTATGTGAAAGTTCTGGCATTATACATGAAGTTACTGCACCGTACACTCCCCAACAAAATGGCATTGCTGAGAGAAAAAACCGAACTCTCAAAGAGATGATTAATGCAATGCTAATCAGTTCAGGTGCTCCGGACTCTTTGTGGGGGGAAGCTGCTATAACAGCAAACCACATTCTAAATAGAGTACCGCACAAAGGGTTTGATAAAACACCCTATGAACTTTGGAAGGGGCATGCCCCAAACCTTAGTTACCTAAGAGTATGGGGCTGCTTAGCAAAAGTAGGACTACCGTCCTTCAAAAGGCCCAACTTGGGACCTAAAACGACGGATGCCATCTTTGTTGGGTATGCTGAGAACAGTGCTGCATATAGATTCATGTACTTAGAAAATCGTACAATGTGTGAAGCTAGAGATGCTATTTTCTTTGAATCTGTTTTTCCTATGAAAACACCTTATCCCTCATCTGATGTTAGCCTTCAACAGAATTCTACGGACTCTTTTCCGAGTTTCTCAAACACTACTGAGGAACCAAGAAGGAGTAAAAGAACTAGAATAGAGAAAAATTTTGGTTCTGAGTTCATAACATACTTAACAGAATTGAAAGACATAAATGAGATTTGTGATCAGTTCATATGTCAATTGGTCCTAGAGGAAGAACCAAAAACCTTTCAAGAAGCTATGCGCTCAGTAGATTCCACATTATGGAAAGAGGCTGTCAAAAATGAATTAGACTCCATACAGTCTAATCACACTTGGGAGTTAGTGAATCTACCAAGAGGTTGCAAACCTATCGGTTGCAAATGGATCTTTAAAAGGAAATTGAGACCAGATGGCTCAATTGAAAGGTTTAAAGCCAGACTAGTGGCAAAAGGCTACACACAGAAATTCGGTGAGGACTATTTCTTTACTTACTCACCGGTAACTAAAATAGCAACTATTCGTGTTCTATTTGCTTTGGCATCTCTACACAGGTTGTTGGTTCACCAGATGGATGTGAAAACTGCGTTTCTCAATGGTGAACTCGAAGAAGAAATTTATATGGAACAACCTCCCGGATGCGTAGATCCTGGTCAAGAGGGGAAAGTATGCAGACTCAAGAGATCTCTGTATGGCTTGAAACAAGCCCCCAAGCAGTGGTATGAAAAATTTCATAAAACCTTATTAGACCTGGGTTATACTACTAACCGGTCAGATGCCTGCTTATATACTAAAGAGAGCAAGTCTAGCATTGTGATCATATGTCTCTATGTAGATGACATGTTAATCTTTAGTCCTAACATTGAGACTATAAAAGACACTAAAAGGAATCTATGTGAAAAGTTTGACATGAAAGATCTAGGGGAGGCAGATGTGATACTTGGGATAAAAGTCACAAAAACCAAGGAGGGTTACCTCTTATCTCAAGGTCATTATACGGAGAAACTTCTAAAGAAGTTTGGGAGTTATGATGTAACTCCAGCCAAGACCCCCTACGATCCCAGTGTAAAATTGTCAAAAAACATAGAGAATAGTGTGTCGCAAGAAGAGTATGCAAAAATAATCGGTAGTCTGATGTTCCTCATGAACTACACTAGACCCGACATTGCATACACAGTAAATAAACTCAGTCGCTATACCCACAACCCGAGTAACTTACATTGGGATGCACTAAAACGGGTACTGAGATACCTAAGAGGCACAGTAGACTGGGGTCTAGACTATAAAGGGTCTCCAGCTGTGTTAGAGGGGTATTGCGATGCGAACTGGGTAAATGGTGGCGATGATGCAAGCTCAACAAGTGGATATGTATTCACTATGTGTGGAGCCGCTGTCTCATGGAAGTCATCAAAACAATCGTGCATTGCCAGATCAACGATGGAAGCTGAATTTATAGCTTTAGATCTGGCAAGCCAGGAAGCAGAGTGGCTGAGAAACCTACTGGCAGACGTGCCATTGTGGGGGTGTCCGGCACCTGCAGTTCCAATACACTGTGACTCACAAACTGCCATCTGTGTTGCGCAAAACAGTGTCTATAATGGCAAAAGAAGACACATACGAGTCAGACATGAGTCTGTGAGGCAGTTAATGTTGAATGGGGTAATCACAATGGAATTTGTGAGATCTGAAAAGAATATAGCAGACCCCTTCACGAAAGGTTTAAATCGTAAGACCGTCCTTGATACGTCAAGGGAAATGGGTTTGAAACCCAATGTGGTAAGAAATTCGTGATGCACCACATATGATGGGCATATGAGATCACGGAAAGACTTACAAAGCTGGGAAAAAACCAGTGACAAATCTGTAGCCTGTTACAGGTAGTCTATGCAGAGATAGACTTGACAGATTAAAATGTCTATATGTAGAAATAGACGAGACAGGGACTGGTACAAAGTTAATGAGTGCAACTAAGTTCAAATCTCGACTGACCGATGAGTTCAAGATCTTATTCACTCTCGGGAAAAGAGTTACTTGGCTCCACTACATGTCAGTTCAAGTCTTATACACTGATATGGAAATTAACTCGGATGTACACTCAGGTTGGTACGGTGTTGAATTACCACTTTAAATGTGTGGGGGATTGTTGGGGACATTTAAAGAGTAGGTTTTGTCCCACATTGCTTATCTACCTTTCTATCTCCCACTATTTAAATTACCACTTATTTTAAAAAACTTGAAGTATTATGAAGAGGGAACAAGGGGAGATCCCGCGCTGCCCGCACGGTGTGGTGGGGTCAAATTTTGGTCCGCACTTTTATTTTAACTCCTAATTTTAAGGAATTTTGACCACCTTGTCCGCACACCATGCACTGAGAAGTGAACATGTGATAGACAATGTGTGGAGTTCCTTCCCTTGCTCTCCCTCTTTGTAGGAAGTTTTTGGCTTGTAATGGAGGAGTGGTTTCATACAACTAGTATATAAACCCACTGTTTCATTACATCAAAGATGAACTGAACCTTCATGTTACCTGAGATATTTCGGAACCACATGTTCCAAGCGATTCTGTGTTTCCTGTCGAAAGCAGCGATATCCTGGTCGCAAATGCTTTTAAGGAAGTGTATAACATACACGACACAGATATAATCCAAATAATACACACTACATCCATCAGTGTTCGAAATTAACTTGTTCAAAGCAGAAGCAGTTTTGTTCGAATTAGTAGCAGAGCTTGCGTCATCCACCATCAATTGAGTCCAGTAGCTTTTTGTTGGCTTTCCCACGTCACAAACAAAGCAGCATTGCATCATCATTGCATCATCATTTGTGTCCAGTGACTTTGATTGCTTTTCGCACATCACAAGCGAATCAAGAAGTGCAGCAACGTTTCAGTCCACTGGTTTGGCTGGCAATCGCACATCACTAACGACACAACACACATTTCCACTAATTGTAAAATACAATCACAATATAAAAAGATTGCATTCCAAACCTCACCCCTACTCTAGAGGTTTAGTGGATGAGGTAATTCCATTCATACACTTGTAACTTGAAGTATACAATTGCTAGTAAAATAATTTTTTTTTTTTTAAAGTAAAATTAAATTATTAATTTTTTTAAATTGGTTAATCAGCAACAGTGCAACACTTTGCCCCTTAATTGAACGGTTCGGTATAAACGAGAATTAGTCTGAATATGGCATGAACTTAAATGTGTCTTCTACTATTACGACCTGCTTAGGAGACTTCGTGATCTAACCAAAACTGGTTAATTAGTTGAGTTATAGTCAAGATAATACAAATATACTATAGTGCCTTATGATGGTGTTTTTTTTAGTACGCCTTATGATGGTGTTAATTAGCATTGATTTTAACTTTTTCCATAAAGAAACATAAAGTTTTTTTTTTTGAAAGTTAATTAATTAGATGGCATAAGAGCCACTTTATATTACTTCTGCAATAAAATAAAACATTTATTTGGCACACTTAATTATAAAGTTAACTAAACATTAAAAGTTGAGACTTGTTAAATAAGTCTTGTAAAACACATCTAAAAATTTAATTATTACTTAAAATAACTCATGAAGTTTTCAATAAATCTTTTCAAAACATAACCGAAATCTTATTCACAATCACATATAGTTACATGGAGTGCAGTAAAATTACAACAATTAATTCTGTAACTATTTAAGTTATTTCTACCAGTAATCTCAAATATTATATATTTTTATTACATTGATGTATGACATATGGTCCTTTATGTTGACACTCAAATGGCCACTTCTCATAACGAGAATAACCCTATTTTGACTTGGTTCGGTATGGAATGAACTTATAATCATGGAATTAACTCGATCATCAGATTATAAGTTTATAACCCTAATCCATTTTGGGCGAGACAGATCTATGAATTTTTTATTCCAGTTAATAAGAGGGATTTTGAACTAAAAACTAGACCCTGGAAGTTAAAAGGGGTATACTGAGCAATTGCAATAATCGGGTTCATTGATTTCCTGGTATAGTAAATGCTTTCACACATACAATCATACTCAATTCGATAGAATTGTTTGATGGGGGATCTTTTATAATTTCGTACGGGGTTATTGCTTTGGTGTTGGGTAGTCGTTGGGAAAAGTCAATTTAGTATTTATTGTTTTAAGTCCTATGTTCCATTAATTTGCATATGGCAAATTATTGTGTGGACCATTACGTGGACCATAACAAAAAGTACATTTTTAATATAATAAATGTACATTATTTTTGTACTGAATGTACATTATATAATATAATATACATTCAGTACAAAAGTAATGTATATTATTTTTGTGCAGAATTTATATTATTTTTGTACTGAATGTACATTATTTTATAGTATACAAAATATGGTTCATATAACTTGTATGGACCATGGTACACACAATAATGATTTATTCAATCATTAACAGCTAGCGTTCTTTTGGTTTCATAAAGTTTAATCCTGGCCTCATTTAAACACCCAGTAAACAGGAAGGAAAGAGGAGATCAAAGAAAAAGAAAAGTTGAAGGAAATGGCGAGTGAATTGGCATTGCTGCAGAAAGTGGAGAAGTGCCCAGGGTGTAAGGTGGAGCAGCAGAAAGAGTTGCAGACACAGATTCCTCTCAAAATGCTTATAACCATTTGGAGTATTGTGCTTTGTACATGTATATATTCTCTCTCATCACTTTACTTGTTACATGTATATATGATGTCGTTAATTTTCTGATGTTTTTCTTGTACACATGCACTTTTCAGCACTCTCAATAACTTGTCTCTTCCCATTCATTTATTTCATGGTAAAGTTACACTACATCTATCTTTGAACTCTTCGGACCTCTTCATTGGATCAGTTAGTTCCTGATTGATAGATTGTGATGGCAGATAAGGGATTTCCAAATTGGGGAGACAGAAGAAGATATCGGCAAGTATGCAGGTTATGTAGGTATGCATGCATTTATAATCAGATCGATCGAGTTGAGTTAGAACTTAGAAGAAGAATTCATGGTCATCTTCTATCATATCCTTTAATTTGGCTAAATTAAATATAATTGATGTGTGAATTGAATTGAAGGATCTGCATTCATGCTTGGAAGGGCACTGACATCTGTGTTCTGGGGGAGGATGGCGGATCGATTTGGTCGAAAACCAGTTATTATATTTGGCACAACCATAGTGTATGTATATGTATAGTACACTACTGGAAATTATAGAATTTCTGACCACTTGAAAGTAATCTTAAATCAAGTCGAAATAAAGTAAAAAGTGGTCGAAAATAGCAACAAAGGTTTTTTCGGATACCAAAAGTGGTCGACTTTCAACTTGATTTAAGATCACTTTTAGGTGGTCGGAAATTCAATAATTTCCAGTAGTGGTAGATCATCATATCCATTTTCATTCCCATATATAATTCATAGTGTTGTCTTTACTGAATTCTATTCAAGCAGTGGCTAATATAATCTTACTAGCTATATATGTGCTGATTTGGTCTCATCAATCAGGGTGATTTTTAATACCCTCTTCGGTGTTAGCCTAAACTTCTGGATGGCAGTCATTACTAGATTTCTTCTTGGAAGCTTGAATGGTTTGCTTGGACCAATAAATGTATCTTCTCTCATCCTTCTTTTACATTTTCCTACTTTTTGACCTACATACCCTAATATAAAACCTGCACTTTTCATCATTTTGTGTGTCACTTAACTTTGTTGAATGTCCAGGCATTTTCTGCGGAATTCTTTCATGAAAGATACCTATCTTTGGGAATGTCCGTGGTAAAAAGAATTGTGTCCCTAATTTCCAAATGCCGATTATTACTGCTTATTTAGCTTTGAACAAACACTCACCATTACCATTATATTCTTGGTCGAATTTAATTAGATTTGCACGTCCTGGGGTATAGGGCTAATCATTGGCCCAGCTATAGGAGGCTTTCTTGCGCAGGTACATATATATTACTCCTTTTCGTCTTCTTCTGTTGCAATTTTTTTTTTTTTTTTTTTTTTTTGGAGTGATAGAGTGAAACTTGCCGTCACTATTAAAGGATGTGCATGTTGGAAGCTGCGATGGTGATCGAGAGAAAAGAGATATGTGTATGCGTAAGGAAGTTACTGTTTCATTAGAGCAGAAAGAAGAAAAAGATAGCGTATATGTACAAAGCTGTGAGGCGGAAAAAACGGTTGTAACAAACCTTTGCTATCTAAGTACTAAAACACCCTTATTCAATTGCTTTAGTAGAGGGTGTAGATGTCTTCTTCTCCAATCCCCCCCCCCCCCCCCCCCCCCCCCCGTAAGCTGGCGCATACAAGTCGTGTGTGCCAAGCTTAGCCATGAAGCCTCGAAACAGAGATGTGGATAGCGGTTTTGTGAACCCATCTGCTATCTGATTCTATGATGACACAGATAAAAGCTTTATCAACCCTCGGTTTATCTTCTCGCGAATCACATGACAGTCAATTTCTATATGTTTTGTGCTTTCGTGGAAAACACAATTTTCAGCAATGGCCACAATAGATTTACTGTCACAGAAGAGAGTTGCTGGTTTGGTGGTTGTGATTTGTAAGTCATGAAGTAGATATTCAAGCCATTGGATCTCGCAGACAGTGGCTACAAGTGCACGATACTCGGCTTCAGAACTAGAACGAGAGACAGTGGCCTGCATTTTCGACTTCCATGAGATAAGCGAGGAGCCAAGGAAGATGCAGTAGCCGGTAACAGATTTGCGTGTTTCAACCAATCTGAGTCCGAGAACGCCTTGAGGTGCAAATCTGTTTGGGAAGGATAGAATAATCCTTAACCTGGGGAAGCCTTGATGTATCTTAATACACGATGAGCGGCTGCATATGTGTATCTGTTGGAGCATCTACAAATTGGCTCAGTTGTTGGATGACATAAGTGATGTCGGGTCTTGTAGCAGTGAGATACAATAATCTCCCTATTAGTCTTCTATAAATGCTGGCATCACTGATCAGATTTCCCTCACCATGCATAAGTTTCAAACCTGGAACCATAGGTGTGCTTATTGGCTTACTTTCAAGAAAACCAGCCTCTTCCAAGATTTCCAAAGCATATTTTCGTTGACATATATTCAGACCGTCTTTCCCCATGTGAGCTTCGATGCCTAGAAAGTAACTTAGTGATCCCAAGTCTTTGATTTTAAAGGTGGAGTCCAGGAACTGCTTGAGACTTTGGATGGGCTTCATTTATGCACTGGTGACGAGTATGTCGTCAACATATACTAAGAGGGCTATGAAGCTGTCTTCATCATTTTTAGTGAACAAAGATGGATCGACTTTGGACTGTTTGAAGCCAATATGGATAAGGGCTGCAGTGAGTTTGGCATTCCATTGGCGACTTGCCTGCTTCAGACCGTATAAGGATCTCAATAGCTTGCATACTTGATTTGGCTTTTCACTCTCAAAGCCCGGGGGCAAGACCATGTACACCTCCTCATTGAGATCACCATGCAAAAACGCGTTGTTGACATCCAATTGATGCATATGCCATGATCTGGAAATGGCTGCACAGAGAAAGGTGCGAATGGTTGTCAACCTAGCAACTGGAGAGAAAGTTTCAAGGTAGTCGATGCCAAATTGCTGTGTATAGCCCTTTGCCACAAGCCTCGCCTTGTGTCTTTCTACCATTCCATCAGTTTTCAACTTCACTTTAAAAACCCACTTGCAGCCTATGGGAACCTTTCCTGATGGCAGTTCAGTAAGGTCCCAAGTTTTGTTTTCTTGAAGTGCCCTGACCTCTGCAGACATGGCCTCTCTCCAGCAGGCATGTTGGACTGCCTGGCTGTAGGTTCTTGGCTCAACCGTTGATGATACTGCCATGGAGAAGCTCCTGTGGGAGGATTCAAGATTGTTGTAGGTCACCACCTTTGATAAATGATGTGGTGAAGTATTGTGATGAATAACATTGTCACAGTAGTAATTTTGTAATCTGCTAGAAGGTTGTCTTTGTCTGCTAGAACGTCGAACCTGATTAGTGGGGATTCTGGGACTGCTCACATCATCTTCATTAGCGTCAATATGAGCAGATTCTGAGGCTCTAATGTCATCATTACTGAAATTGTGTCGCTGGACAGTGGGGATATTTCTAGGACTGCTCACATCATCTTCATTATCATCAATACGAGCAAGTTTTGAGGCTCCAATGTTGTGCTGAGTGCTGCATTCTGGAAGCTCATTAAATTCACATTCATTGTGAGATTCAGAAGATATATTTGGAAGCTCTTCATGTGGATGTTGATTGATATTGATGTCTGCCCCTTCTGTTATGGGAATATTAGGCGAGGAGGGGACCACATTGTGTAATTCAATTGTATGATCATTCAAAGAGGCTAAGGGGAAGTGATTTTCATAGAATGCTATGCCACGAGATATGAATGTCACCTTATCATAAATATCATACACCATATAGCCTTTTACACCTGCAGGTATTCCAATGAACACACATTTCCTACTACGTGGTGCCATTTTGTGTCGTGAATTAGCTAAGGTAGCAACATAGCATAAGCACCCAAAGACTCTTAAAGTAGTGAGGTCCGGGTTCTTACCATGAAGCTTTAAATGCGGACTTGCCCAACTAAGGACTGCGGATGGGAGTCTATTAATGAGGTATGTTGTGTACACAACACATTGCCCCCAGAACTCAAGAGGGAGACCAACTTGAAACCTCATAGCCCGAGCCACTGCCAAAACATGTTGATGTTTTCTTTCAACTACTGCGTTCTGTTGAGGAGTATTGACGCATGACTTTTGATGCATAGTGCCATTTTCATCGAAGAACCCCTTCATGTCAAATTCTAGGCCATTATCACTTCTCACAACCTTTATGATAACTCCAAACTGGGTGAGAACCATCTTGTAGAAGCACCTTATCAGCTCCCGAGTTTCAGATTTGTGTTTCATGAGTTTCAGCCATGTATATCTAGAGTAGTCATCAACAATGGTAAGAAAATACATTTCCCCTCCAAGAGACTCAATATGAAACGGGCCCCAAATGTCCATGGGGACTAAATCAAAACAGGCTGCAGAGGTGGTATTGCTTGATGAAAAAGGAGTTCTCTTGTGTTTTGCTAAATGGCAAACATCACAAACCAGATTTCTTGTGTTAGGAACAGATATATCAAGAATATGGAATTTATTCGCAGGAGAATGTCCCAATCTTTGATGCCATAGCTCAACATTATTACACTGCATAGGAAAAGAATTATAAACAGCAGAATTGACATTAGCTACAAGTGGTTTATTCAGCAAGTATAACCCCTTCTCCTCTCTAGCAAAGCCAATCATCCTCCCATGGTCCATTAGAATGCACTGACCATAGGTAAACATCAAGCAATGAGAAGTGTTTTTCAGCAATTTATTCACAGAGACAATGTTGAATTTAAACGAAGGAATGTGTAAAGCATCCTTTAGCCACAAATTATCATTCAGTCTTATATTGTCATTCAAACCATGCAGGAACCTTATAATATGATCGATCTCTCGATCTTTTCTGATTTCATTTACCAGATTGCAGGAGCATCGTGGTGTGCATCGACAGATCGGAAGAGGCCTAATTTAAGAACATTCATCTCCTCCAGAGTGTGCGAGATTTAGTGAAATAATCATTAACTGTTATGCTTCCCTGCTTCAAACCATATATTTCATTCTGCAAAGATGAAATGCGATGTGCGTCTCGCTGAGAGAATCTTCTTTTCAAGTCATTCCAAATTTCCTTTGCTTCATCCATATACATTACGCTCTGAGCGATGGATGGATGAATAGATTTCAGAAGCCATGACTTGATGATCAAATTACATCTTCTCCAGGCACCGTACTAAACGTGGTTCATTTCCGGCTCAGGAATACCTCCGTCAACTATGCTCCATTTGTTTTTGACCTCAAGAGCAACGCGCATCGAGATACTCCATGATCCGTAGTTGCCGCTGTCGGTAAGTGGAGGACTGACGAGTATGGCGTTAGCATTCTCGTTGATGCTCAGATAGAGTGGGTTCTCTATGTCTTCGATGGCTCTGTTCCTCTACGGAACCGGAATTCCCTGTGTATTCGCTACTGGCGATACACGAATTGGTGATCAGATGATTGGTGACGTCGGATGAACTCCCTGACTGGACTCACCGGAGTCGGAGACCGCGAAGGCGTAGCTCACACGTCGTGGCTCTGATACCATGTTGGAAGCTGCGATGGTGATCGAGAGAAAAGAGATATGTGCATGCGTAAGGAAGTTACTGTTTCATTATAGTAGAAAGAAGAAAAAGATAGCGTATATGTACAAAGCTTTGAGGCAGCAAAAACGGTTGTAACAAACCTTTGCTATCTAAGTACTAAAACACCCTTATTCAACTGCTTTAGTAGAGGGTGTAGACGTCTTCTTCTCCAATAAGATGTCTTCTTCTCCAATAGTGCATTAAATAAATGACATTTTGTGAAATGATAGGGAATATACTCCGAACTACTATCCCTTTTATACTAGGAACCTGGTCGGATATGGCTCCTCGTAGGGCTGTGGTCTCTGCTTGATCGGATCTGACCTACCAAGAGTACCTGACTGACCCGCCTGATGGGTAAGAATTTTATTGGTTTGAGGAGCTTTTTCCCTTAGCCTTTGGTGCTCGACCCTAGTCTCTATGCTAGGCTAACGGCCCCGAGCTCACATATATACTTAGCCCTTAAGGGTACGTAGATGTAAGTCGAGACTGATAGTCATTGGCCTATCAGGTATACCTTTACACGTGGATGCTTATCCTTAACCTCTGGGACCGCCGAGTGCATGTTGGACACGCACGTGTCGCACATGCCGACCCCTAGGCATATGTATCCCTTGGCCCTCTATAAATATTGCGTTTGTTGCTAGTAAAGGAAACCTTTTTCCCTCTCTCTAATACTGACCCTCTCGGGAACCTCCGACCTTTGGTCCAGTCACCCCAAGCTAATACACTTTATGATCAGTGATACTAATCCATATTTTGAAATACATATACGAGAGAATTTATACTATCATGAACCTACTCGACAAAAGACCACAATGAGTAAATCAACATAGGTTGTCCATAGCTGATCGGTTCAAACTAAAAAGGTGAATAAGCCATCCCCTGCTTAGAGTAGAATTTGTAACTTTTGGTTACTAAATCAATAGTCTAGGCAACTCAGTTGCCTCAAACAATAATTATAAGGCTTTTTGTTGCAATTTTGACCCCCTTGTTAATGGGAGTCAACTCTCCCAAATGTTGTTACAGTTTTTGCATAGTGTTGAGCGAAGGTTGGTAAGAGTCAAGTCCAGCACCATGTAACTAGAGAGAACTGTTGGGTAGAGGTCGATAGGGGCTAAGTCCAGTACCATGCCTCTAAAAAATGTGATGGCAGTATATAAGGAAATAAAGCTGTGCATTCGCTACTAACTATAGCTTTTGGCATAATGGTAAGCACCTAATCTAATAACACATTAATGACAAGACTTTGTGGTTTAGTGGCACCAAGTTGCACTTCCATGTCGGAGGTTATGGGTTCAAATTTTGGTGGAAGCAGTATTGACTTTTTGTACTTAAGTAATTGTGAACAGATACTGCATTGTAAAGAGTCAGTACTAAAAAAAAACACATTAATCTCATTGTTTAGTGTCAATTTGTTTTTTTTTTTTAGTGTCAATTTCTTTTACTCTAATCTTACCCAAACCAGTTTGTGGGTTTCGTTGATCAAATATTCGAATGATCAAATTTGCAACTTATAATAGTAGCGACTAAAACAACTAGTGACGTATAATTTGTTCACTTTACATTATTGTTGTGTTTTTTTTTTATTTTATTTCTGGTACTTATGAACAAAGCCTGCGGAGAAGTATCCTTCATTGTTCTCAGCAGACTCTCTATTTGGGAGGTAATTTTATCTACTTTAATTTGTTGATTTTACTTCACATTTTGAATGTTCTTCAACTACAAATTGAACTATTAAACTATATATATATATATATATATAATGGCAGATTTCCGTACCTATTGCCTTGTCTCTGCATTTCACTCTTTGCATTGGCAGTGACCATTTCTTCATTTTGGTTGCCGGTACATCTTCTTTACTCTCCAATTCCAACAAATTATACCATAGACCAGGGTCTACCTTGTATTGTAGATCCTGATCCAAAAATAACCTTCAGATTCTGTATTTATAGTTGACATATTATGTAGATGCAGTTGATACTTGTGAGAAAAATTAATGTGTAAGTAGTTGTAGTCAAACTTGACTTTAGCTAACTAGCTTGTATAGGATTAGTTACATTAATTGTGTTGGTATTAGTTAGCGATAGGTATCCCGATCCTCTCTCTACCCATCAACAATGTCGATTAACTCTTCTGAGAGAACAGTGACTGCCGCCGCCGTCCAGGCTCCTGCCACTCTAAATTCCCTATCATCTACCCACCATTTCGTATCCATCAAGCTGACAACACAGAATTATTTGTTCTGGCATACCCAACTAATTCCGTTTCGCCGTGGTCAAGGCCTCCTGGATATGTCGACGGCAACCACCCGTGGGCCGTGTCCTCCGGCGGTTATCGAGTCCACCACCATCGGCGAGGGCACCTCCGACAGCACAGCTTCCACCACCACGAATTCGGCGTTCGCGGTCTGGGTCCAACTGGACCAGTCTATTCTTTCATTGCTTATATCATATATCTCCAACGAGGTGATGTACCTTGTCGTCGGCCGCACCACCTCTCGAGAAGTATGGCTCTCCACTGCAACGGCGTTGGGCTCCTCCACCCGTGTTCGCTGCCTAAACTTCCTCGGCCAATTCGAAGCTCTTCGCCAAGGAGACAGTACGCCGGCAAAATACCTCGGACGGGCGCAGCTTCTCGTCGAGGACCTTGCACTCACCGGCCACCCCATGTCCTTCGACGAACAAAATTTGTATGTGTTTAGGGGACTCCGGTCAGAATTTCGAGCCATGGTCGCATCTCTCGCTGTCTTAAGTAACCCTGTATCTATCCCGCAGTTATCGAATTATTTACAGGCGCAACAATTTATTTTTGCCGATGACTTTTCGTTGGCTGGGGCGGCGTTCTCTGGCGGGTCTCCCACTGCGATGGTCACCGATCGTGGTCGCCGGCAGAACAGAGATGGGAATTCTGGAAACCGACGCGGTGGTCTTGGTTGCGAAAATCAGCGCGGCCGTGGCGGTCAAGGCCGCGGACGTCGTGGAGGGCCTCGCTGCCAAATCTGCCGGTCGCATGGACACACGACAGTGCATTGCTTCAAGTGATACTCCGGGCAGCCTCCGGTCCAAGCGCACGTGGCGGTGACTGGCGATGGCGGTATGGCGACGGGGACAGATGTGAGGATAAGACTAAGATGTTAGGTTTGAATTCTAGGTGCTCTGATACCAACTGCAACACCCCCAATTTTCAGCATATTTTAAAACAATTAAAGCTTACAAAATAAGGGTAAATCTATCATTAATACCAAGACAGAGCGAAGCTAACACCGGATGCGGCGATGATGACGCAATTGGAGGAGTACACCTGCAGTGATGTGCTTCGTGTCATCAATGGTACAGGTTTAGCTATTTCACGTATTGGTCATGCATCTTTCCCGTCTATATCTATGTCGAAATCTCTAAGTTTGTTTAATATTCTACATGTGCCTGATTTACCTGTATCACTTTTGTCTGTTCAAAGATTCACAAATGAAAATAACTTATTCTTTGAATTTCATTCCATTTTTTTTTTGTTGTGGAAGACTGCATCACCAAGGCGGTGCTTCTTAAGGGTCCCAGTTCAGGTGGTTTGTACAAGCTGTCAGTCCCCCGGTCACATCTTGCGTTTCTTTCCGCCCGTACCTCGTCCGTGGTGTGGCATCGCAGATTGGGTCACCCACATGCTCGTGTCCTCCAGCGTGTCTTACGGAATTGCCCAGTCACTCCGAATAAATGTGGTTTGTCGAGGCTATGTTCGACCTGCCAACTTGGCAAATCTTCTTGTTTCCCCTTAGATAGAGTTACTTATTCTAGCAATAATGTTTTGGACATTGTGTACACGGACATTTGGGGTCCTGCCCTGGCTATTTCTACGAACGGTTTTCGGTATTTTGTTTTGTTCGTGGTTGATTTTTCACTTTTTGCTGGTTTATCCCTTACGTTTAAAGTCTGACATTTATAAGGTTTTTGAACTATTTCGTGTTATGGTAGAACATATGATTTCACATTCAGTCTATACAATATGATTTAGGGGGTGAATACCGCCGTTTGCATAAAATATTGGAGTCTCTTGGTATTGTGCATAGGCAATCATGTGCCTATACACACGAGCAAAACGGCCGAGTAGAACGCCAGAATAGACATGTTGTTGAAACCGGCTTAGCTCGTCTTGCTGAAGGCTCCGTTCCCTAAAACACTGTGATTCTGCATTTGAAACAACCACATATCTCATAAATCGCATGCCTTCGTTCGTTTTACAGTTTAATAGTCCATATTACCATTTATACAAATCACCCCCACATACACCTTTCTTCGAGTATTCGGGTGTCGTTGTTACCCATATCTTCAGTCATGGACGGAGCCAAAGGGGGGGGGGGGGGGGGGCAGGGGGGTCAGCTGCCCCCCCTCACCCCACCCCACCCCGTATATAATCTTTGTATGTATATATGTATATATAGTACATGTTAGAGTATTAGTATATAAAAACTGTTAATTGTCAATAAGGAATGAGTTAGATTAGTTAGTAGAGCATGTGTTTGGGTATACTAAAGGTTAGAGGTTTCAATCTTATGGGTGTTAATATAATTTTACAGCTTTTAATATTTAATACACACACACATACATATATTCAAATTATTTTATCAAATTAATTATGTTTCATATTTTGTTATGAATATTTTTATAAAGTTTCGATGTGTTTTATTTTTTGCTCATATCCAATAATATTTACACCTATATTTCTTAGGTAATTTATTTATTTATTTTTTAAATATCTCTTTTATTTTAATGTTTCATCTTTACTGGAAAAAATTTCTGAATCTGTCCGAATTTCGCCCCCCCCCTCAACAGAATTCCTGGCTCCGTCCCTGTCTTTGGCCTTACAATCGGCACAAGATAGAGTTCCGTTTATAGCCCTTTGTCTTCTTAGGGTACCCTACGTCTTTTAGGGGATATCGATGCATGAACCTTAATACTGGAAAGACCTTTATCTGTCACTATGTGAGATTTGACGAGTCTATATTCCCTTTTGCTTCAGATTCATCTTTGTAGGTTAAACAGACCGAGCCCACTGCACTATGGGGTTTTAGGCTTGTGGTCCCAAATGCTGGACTTTCACCAGGACTAACGGCTGCTCCATTGGCTCTAAAAGGTGCCGCTGTGGCTACCACGACCCGGATGTGCGGCACACGGACTCAACCGCTAGAGCGGGCTCATGTCACGCGAGACTCGAGGCACAAGTGAGCAGTTTTGTGCTTTAACTACGATCGATGCCCCTACTGATCCAACTTGCTACTCACAAGCGGTAGGCCATCCACAATACGGGTCTTTGGAGCGTTATAAGGCGCGCCTGGTCGCTAAGGGGTTCAACCAAGTAGCAGGCGAAGATTTCTTCGACACATTTAGTCCCGTAGTCAAACCGACTACGGTTCGCATGTTATTTTCCTTTGCAGTTTCTCAGGGCTGGACTTTGCGCCAGCTCGATGTACACACTGCCTTTCTCAATGGACATTTGGCCGAAACCGTGTTTATGCACCAACCGTCGGGGTATGAAGATCCAGGGAACCCCGATCATGTCTGTCACCTCTAGCGTTCTCTACATGGGCTGAAACAGGCACCGCGGGCCTGGTTCAAACGTCTTCACGATTTTTTGCTTTCTACAGGGTTTGCTGCATCCAAGACTAACGTCTCCTTGTTCCATTACTTCGTTGGCACCTCTCGGGTGTTCCTGTTGGTCTACGTGGATGACATCATCATGATGGGCAACGACCCCGCATTGATTAACACACTACTACTGCATCTCTCCTCGACCTTTAAGATACGGGACTTCGGGACGCCGAGTTTTTTTCTTGGCATTGAGATGACGTCCGTAGACGGCGGTCTGGTCCTATCTCAGAGATGCTATATGGGTGATCTTTTAAATCGTGCATGTATGATTGACTGCAAACCTTTAGCAACACCCATCGTTGTCACGCAGGATGTATCCTCATCTACTGAGCCATTTGACAATCCCACACAGTATCGTCGCTTGGCTGGTGCGTTGCACTATTTAACTATAACTCGGCCAGATCTGTCCTACGCGATCAATCGATTGTGCCAGTTTATGCATGCCCCAACCAAAGAGCACTAGAGACTCCTTAAACGCATCATCCGCTATGTGAAAGATATGTTAACGTATGGTTTGCGGTATGTTAGCCTCGTCCTCTTGCGATATACATGCCTACTCAGATTCAAACTAGGATGGGTGTTCGGTTGATCGAAAGTCAACCAGTGGGTACACAGTGTTTATCAGTTCGAACTTGGTTTCTTGGGTATCACACAAGCAGCGTACGGTTGCCCGTTCATCGACTGAGGCTCTGTACAAGGGGCTGGCTGATGTATCCGCTAAGGTCACGTGGATTGTGTCATTACTGCGTGAGCTTGGGCTTCATTCTGGCTGGCCTGCAACACTTTGGTGTGACAACCTTGGCGCCACCTACCTGTATGCCAACCTCATATTTCATGCCCAAACCAAACATGTGGAGATCGACTATCACTTTGTCCGGGACAAGGTTGCATCCGGGGATTTTCGAGTCAATTTTGTGTCTACGAAGGATAAGCTCGCTAACGTCTTCACAATGCCCTTACCAGTAGCCCGCTTCGCGACTCTACGAGGCAAGCTCAATGTTGTCTCCCTCCAACCTTGTGCTTGAGGGAGTGTGTGAGAAATATTAATGTGTAAGTAGTTTTAGTCAAACTTGACTTTAGCTAAATAGCCTATTGTATAGGATTAGTTACGTTAATTGTGTTTGTATTAGTATCTATGTATTATCCTTTTACAATTTGAATATACAACAAACTTCATCATAGTTTTTGTACATGTAGCTATCATATTATGTGTCAGCAATTATCAAGTTATTTGTTTACATGTACAGAAACTATTAACTGTAGGTACAAAATGTGTTAATTGAAGGTACATAATTTTTGTATATGGGTTCACAATGCAATATGGACCCTGGTCCATGGTGTAACAATTGCCAATTCCCATATGAAATTAGATTTGTGCAAACATGATGGCACTGCTGGAAATCTCGCTATTTCCGTCCAACTTTCTGTGCATTCCTATTAGCGATGGAAAGTGAATCTTTACAAATTACCGACCAACATTATTGTTGGACAGAAATAGCGAGATTTTCAGCCATGTAAGCTACTAGAGCTACTATTTCTTTTATATTCTTTGCTTTTGTTAAGGGAGGTCCCGGTTGAAAATATAGAGAGTAAGAAATAATAACACGTTAATGTTACTTTGACTTATGTGCATTACGGCCTAATGGACAACTCACGGGAATGTAGGAAACACTGCACAAATATGATTCGGCTTGCGACTTAGACAGGGTTTCAGAGGTTGCACCTCAAGTAGCAGAGGATGATGAGACACCAACCCCCAGAAAGAGCATTTACAAAAACTGGCCCTTAATGTCAGCCATCATAATATATTGTGTCTTTTGTCTTAACGATATTGCTTATTCAGAGGTAGATGTTGTATTCATTTTCCACTTTACAGTTGTTGCAGAGTGTGTGTGTGTGTATATATATAGTTGAGTTCAAATGAGGACAACAATATATAGAGGACTGTGCTGACAATGGGCCACACAACAAATTAATATCAGACACACAATTTAATACATAATGACACAAGAATACATGTAAACATCAGGTTTTAAACCCAGGCTCTATTTATTAATAAATCTATGCACACGACATACAAACTGTGGCACACGACTACATTCGACCATGCACACGACATACAGACTAATGGCACACACTACATCTGTGCTCATAGTTCTCTATAATATATTTGTCCTCATTTGAACTCAAATATATATATATATATATATATATATGTGTGTGTGTGTGTGTGTGTGTGTGTGTGTCACACACACACACACACACACACACACACACACACACACACACACACACACATATATATATACACGTATACACACACACACACACACACATACACACACACACACACACACACACACACACACACACACACACACACACATATATATATATATATATATATATATATATATATATATATATATATATATATATATATATATATATGACCATTTTCTGCTACAGACATTCTCATTATGGACTGAGAGTCCCAGAAGACTTGGTGGTTTAGGTTATTCTACAAATGCTGTTGGAGTGGTCCTTGCAATATCAGGTACATTATTTAATTTTCTACAAATTAATCTAGCTAGGGAAATGGGATATTTGACCCCTCGCCCCTAAGTTATTGAAATCTCTACTCTTTTGTCCATTTGTTGTTTTCAAAGTAACAATTTTAGTCTTGCGAAGAACTATGGTCTTGGGCTCGATTTGTCCCTATTTTATTTTTGTCCGAACGCCGACCTCGCAGAGTGCGTTTATAGGGATTGTATCGGAGCTCTTTTTGTCCTTGGTGACTGATTTTTTTTTGTTTTTGTCCCTTGGAGTTTCGCCATTCCTGTTCATTTAAAAATATTAATCTTTTGTTAAAGTTGAATAAACATAAAGAAAAAAGATTTTAAAGGACATGAGTAAACATAAAATTGTATGAGACCAATATTTCAATGAATTATTTGACAAACTCTAAACTCCAACCTAACGGTAAACAAAAGTAAAAGTCTTGAATTGAAACTTGAAATTAGTCAAAGAAATTGATCACTAAAATAATCTAAAAATATGGAATCCAATTTTCATATCTATTTGTCATCATTTAAGCTTTTTATTTATTTATTATTTTCTATTCAAATTTAATGGAATATTAACAAAAAGAACTCTCACAACTTCATAAATAACGTAGAAATAAAAAATAGACTGAGATACTGAATCTTACCTAGGGTATAACTCAATGACAAAATTAAATGTGTCATTTTTCCATTAATTTATTTTATTATGTTCAACGTAACTTTCTTGTAAATCAAAACTTTTCCATGTTGATTTCAGAAGTAGGATAATGTTATGTTCAAAATACTAAATGTCGTAAGCTAGTCTATTAGAGAAATATTAAAGTCATGACATTAGTGAGCCTTTCCTTCTCCAGTTGTGAGCCTTCATTCTTCGTCTTGGTTTCTTGCTTTTCATCTTCCTTCTGTGTTTATGGCTACGAATAACACGGCTACACTTTCTTTTGCTGAACTAGATGAGGGAGACATTATTCAACAGTTTGGCAATGTTTCCCTTGGATCTACATAGTAAGGAGTTCTATGCAGTGGGCAAGTTAGTAACTAAAAAACCTGTTAAGGTTAACTTCTTTAGAGACACGATGGCCTCGATTTGGAGGCCAACGTATGCACGAATATTAAGGAGTTGCAGCCACGCTGGTTTCTGTTCCGATTCTACGATGAAGATGACATAGATCGGACCGTGGAGGATGGCCCTTGGCCTACGAACAAAGCTTGTTGACTTTAAAACTTATCACTCTGGATGTAGATCTAGAGGTATGTCCTCTGGATCATGCTGAGTTTTGGATACAGGTGCATGGCCTACCTGCAGGGCTCCGTTCTAATGCTGTTCTAGAAGCCATCGGAGATTTTATCGGACATACCGTAGAATTGGACGATAAAAACTTTGATGGCACTATGTGAGTGTTCTTCAGAATTCGGGTGGAGGTTGATATCCTGATGGATTTAATTAATCCGAGGTAGCCCAAATTACTAAACACGATAATAATAAGATTAGGATAATGTGGTAATAAAGACGATGAATGTGTGTCACAGGGACAACTTCCGTATTGATAATATTCGTAGGAGAATTACAAGGTGAATGTAATGTAATACCAAGAAGTAGATGTCCTCAACAAGACAATGATCCCTCTTTTTATATTCGCTAACCTCCCAACCGCCCCCCTATTCTCGCGGGGTGGTTGGATCGCGGTTTGACTGAGTCCACGCGGGTACCCGTGGCAGCCTTCTGCCCTTGGGTTGAAGTAGGCCCCAATCGTGGCCGACAGGTCAAAGTAGACCCCGGCCGAGGTCGCCCCTGGCCGGGCCGCGGTTAGCCCCTAGCCGAGGCCTTAGTCGGCCCACCCTTGGCTCCTTGCACCACGCCTTCCCGGGTCGGTTTGCCCCGAACCCATGCCTAATATACCCTTTATATCCTTAAACCGCTGAAAAAAGGAATGAGATTGAAACGAGATGACGGTGAATGGATCCGTGTTGATTTCAGATATGAACGCCTCCCTACATTTTGCTTTGTGTGTGGAGTTCTGGGTCATAGAGATAGGTTTTGTTCCAAGGTGAAGTGTGGAGGTGATCCTACGTTGCGCGCTGGTAGGTCGCCGTAATGCTACGTGGCGGGGGACTTTATTGATATTATGTCTCCAAATGAGAAATGGGGACAACATCCTCACCCAACTGCTTTAATAGATGGCTTTAATCATGCACTAGAGAACTGCCAACTTTTTGATCTGGGTATGAAAGGTCGGCAGTTTACTTGGGAGTGGGGAAAAGGTACAGATCATTGGGTGGAGGATAAGTTAGACAAGGCTGTGGCGAGTGCAAAATGGAAAATTGTATTTGCGACAAATTGATAAACAAATTAGCCACCATCAATTTAGCCTCAATCTTCTCCGTGATAGATGTGATCCTGAGGGTCTTTCACAATTTCAACAAATGAATAGCAGATTAAATGCCTTATATGACCACCAAAATATTACTTGACGGAAAAGAGCAAAACAGTTTTGGTTAACCAACGTCGATAGAAACACCAAGTTTTTCCATCTTTATGCTTCGGCTAGGAAAAGGAAAAATTATGTCCATAATATGTGGATGATGTTAAACATGTTTTATTCTTAATGGCTCCGGATAAATCCCCTGGTCCTGAAGGGTTTAGTCCGGCGGTTTTTCAGCACTTCTGGAGTGAGATTGGTGATGATGTAGCTCGATTTATTTTGGATTGCTTGAATGGACAGAATTGGCCTACTGGTATGAATGATGCTTACATTACTTTAATCCCTAAAAAATCTATACCAATCTATATGGGTGATCTTAGGCCAATTGCGCTTTGCAATATGACTTACAAGATCTTATAAAAAATGGTGGCTAACAGACTTAAGGAGGTTTTAGATGTTGTGATATTGGCCCCGCAGAGTGCTTTCCTTCCCGGTCGCCTTATAACAGATAATCTGCTTATTGCTTCGGAAGTAGTGCATTATTTACATCGGAGAAGACAAGGGGTAATACTGGTTGGTGTGCGTTAAAACTTGACATGGCCAAGGCCTATGACAAGATGGAGTGGTTCTTGAAGCAGATGATGATACGGTTGGGCTTTGATGCTCGTTGGATTGATATTATTATGAAGTGCGTCACAACTGTACGGTATAAGTTTGGTTTGAATGGCTGCCTAACTGATTTTATATTGCCTTCCCGGGGTCTTCGTCAAGGTGATCCATTATCACCATACTTATTCATACTTTGTGCAGAAAGATTGGGATTCTTGTTAACAAAAGTTGTCCATAATAAAATGATTTTCCCATGTATTGTCGCGCGCGGGGCTCCAACCTCCTTTGATTCTTATCACATTGGAGAAATTGTAGTCTCTTTACTTATGTGACCTCCGTTGGTAAGAACATCTCCAAAGTGCATTAGATACAAATTGAAATCACTTCAAAGAGCATATTTAGCATGATGAGGACATGTGACCTCCATTTTATTAGGAAAGTCTTAACCTAATTGTCAGAACAGGGTGTCCGATGAGGACATGGGATCTCAAGGGGTCCATTTTATTGGGAAAGTCTTGACCTAACCGTCAGAGCGGGGTGTCCATATGGGTGAGGCGTTGGCCAAATAAGTAAATATTATAAAGTGTTACGATAGAGTATTGAACCCACAACCTTCCATTTAAGAACACAAGCACTAACCATCCAAGCCACTCAAGATCTTATATATTAAAGGGCAGAAAGTGTAACACCCCCGATTTTCAACAACTTTTAAAACCAAATAAAACTTAAGGAGGAGATAAAGTCTACTCATAAAGATTAAACAAAGCGGAAGCTAATAAACAAGTACGGGAGATGTTATGCCACACCTACACATCTATAGGTGCACATGCTAAGTCTAAACAAAACGTCATAGTCATACTTATAAAAATCCACGGCTCACATGCCACAAGTCTAACTAAAACAAGTCACAAGGAGCTACACTAACTAACGATCTGCTAGCGCGCTCTCCAAGATGCTACTCAAAACCTGTAAAGCAACATAAAGATAGGGGATGACACCCGGTCAGCGAATAATGCTGGTAACACGTCAATACGTGTTAAATAGCATATGTAGATATGTATAAGTCAAAACAATTTTCGAAACGGAATACAGTATATATCATTTCAAAAGCCATAGAGAGAAGTCAACTTCAAAGACTCATTCACACTCTCAAAGGAAAGGAAATCAACATCCTTACGACAACAACAAGACAAGAATACCAACTGTAACCAATACAACTCGAGATGTATTCTACTGATCACAAAGTAGAATACATCAAGACATGCTCAATAGCAAAGAACACATTCACACATTGGCAACTACATGTCACAAATATCATAGTTCCAAGTTCCAACCTTATGCCCTATTCCAACCTTATGGCTACCCCGACCTTATTTCAGTTCCAACCATTACCTCCTAGTGCCACCATGTACTTCTGAGTCTAACCTTTTGCCTCCGGGGACCGTCGCCCCACCGCTGACACTCCTATTCACCATCGATCTCTCAGTACACAAGGGTACCATTAAATATCATATCACAAAACTGCCAATCTCGTAAGCAAAGCTCAAGTAACAAACCACCAATCTCAATCATAATCACACAAGTCATCATTATTACCAAGAAGACTAAGGTTCAACAACAACCTTAATCAAGCATCAATCAAAGGGTACAACGATTACATGCGTTCACATCATATGAATCAATCAATGGATCACAACAAAGATATGAAACCATACTCAACAATGAAGGATTGCAATCCGACACCAAATGATGGTCAACACAAGTTTCCAATCTCAATAGGAAAGAACAAACCACACATACTAGCATTTCAACATCAAACTAGCATGCTTATCAAACGGGTAAAGCAAAAGTAGTTCCATAGAACATTCAAGACTCATCATCAGTCCAACGAATCACAAAGTTGGACCCTTAGCACGATTCAAGACACCAAATCCTACATGGATTCCTAACATACCGTTCTAGACATACGAAACATCAAGAAGACTCACAAATAGCCCAATAAAACATCGGGAGGTCAAAACATCAATACCGAGTCAAAAGAATCACGGGGAACAAATCCCCGCCAACCAACATTCATGTTCCCCGCGGGTGGGGCCACGGGTGGACAACCACCCGCGGGTACAGACCCACGAGACACTCATTCCCCGCGGGTGGGGCGGCGGGTGGTGCCCTGCCCGCCGTTCCGCCCGCGGGTACCAACCTGTACACCAAATAATCCCTTCGAGGATTTTCAACAAGAAGTCCAAATTCAAGTCCAAAACACCCAAAATCTCGCACAATACAACAATATGACTTGAACCCAAGAAATAGCCAAGCAATGGCATACAAGAACCCTAAGAACAAGCTCTAAGCATGCATTACCACAAGACAATGCATCAAATCTCACATTTCAACACAAGAATCACAAGTAGAAGCCAAGAAATCATCATATAAGTAAGAAAATAGGTTTTGTAAAGCATGGATTACCTTTGTAGCCTAAAACTTCACTTTCACACCCTTATAAAGCTTCTCCTAAAGCTCTTCTTCCACACCAACTTCATAAACAAACCAAAAGACAACAAGATTCTATTTTAGTATTTTTAGAAAAAGACAACAAAAAGGATGCTAAAACACCAAGAGATCAAGGATCTTACCCTCCCCTATGCTCAAGATTAGGAAAGTAGGAATCTTGCTCAAGATTAGGAAAGTAGGAATCTTGGAAGACAACTTGCAAGATTTAGGATACCCAAATTTTTGGCTTGAAGAAGAAGCTACCACCTCTTAGAGAGAAGTTAGAGATTTTGTGTTTAGATTGTTGGTGAATGAAATGAAGAGAAGTTGCTAGGTTAGCTTGAAGCACAAACCTTAGGTAGAAAGACATCTTTGCCCTTACTAAAGTTGGAAGAATAAGGAAACAAGGGAACAACCCAATAAGCATAAGGTACAACTCTTTGAGTTTGATTGACTAGTCAAATTCTAGTCCTTCGACTATTGAATTTTCAGGATTTTAGGAATAAATTAACAAGAAAGCTAGGATTAATTCTCTAATTAATCCTTGATTAGAATTTGGATTTACGGGGTGTCACAGAAAGCTCCACTTATGCATGGGAGTGTGCTGGAAGCAAAGTAGTGGGGGCACACGTGTGTGGCCAATAATGAAGGTTGCCTGATGGCGTCCATTTGTCAACCATCTGTGAGTCCTTCAACAATATAAATAGGCACCATTCCCTCTACTTAAAAACCATATATCCTTTGGCTCATCAAACTTCTTCTGGTCCATTAGTCTAGGTCTTCTCTCTCTTGTTGGCACGCCAAGGTTCAATTCTTAGTCGTAACAATTCGAGATTTTTCTATAACTTGCATTATTTATCATCAGTTTGTATTATTAATTGGACCGACGTTTTGGGCCAATATCTCGAACTTTGTGCTTACTATTTTGGACCTAGCACCTCGGATAATAAAGCTGCAATCATTCTTTTCTATTCCTTCAATTGCGATTCTGTTGTGTGTTTAGGGTTCAGCGTCCTAGTCTTTCAAGTTTTGCTATATCCCAGCATTGAGAGAGCCATTGGTCCAGTAACAGTAGTGCGAGTTGCAGGGGTAAGTAACCAATTCAATATTTTAAACTGATAAATCAAAATTCCTCAATAAACATATTTACTACTTTGATTTAAGTTGAATGCTTGCATGTATATATATGCAGATAATGACAATACCCTTGCTGACAAGTTACCCCTACATTGCAAATCTATCTGGGATCACACTCTCTCTGGTGTTAAATTGTGCATCTCTCATAAAGAACATTTTGGTTGTAAGTAATTTCATGTCAGGAATAAAGTTTTTAAAATGATTTTCACAAAAGTATTCAACATTTTCCTTTCACTAACTGGACCATTTCGACCTCTTGTTCGGTTATCTTCAGACGGCAAGTATAACAGGATTGTTAATACTGCAAAACAAAGCTGTGGTAATTTTTTGTGTTAATTATTTTCCCATCATTGAAATCCATTTCACTTGCATCTTGATTGCCTTTTCGCTATTGTTGTGCAAGAGTATTTATCTATCGAACCTGATTTATTGTAGGAGCAAGATCAAAGAGCAATAGCTAATGGTGTTGCAATGACTGGAATGTCAGTCTTCAAAGCTATAGGTCCAGTAGGAATTGGAGCACTGTGAGTTTTGCTTTTCACCTGAGAATTTTAATCCACATTTCAAGATTTCTTTTCTTAAACTTTTTTTTTTTTTTTTTTTTTTGGGATAGATTTTCTTGGTCACAAAAGAGGCTAGATGCTGCCTTCCTTCCAGGTAGGGATATTGTCATCAAATTTGTTGCCCATTTTTGTATTTTCTAGAAAAGAAATGAAGCTTTGTTGGTATAATTTCCTCATCTCTTAGTATATGTATTAATACAATCATTTCATCATTATTTTCTATACAATGTGTTCCAATGCAAAAGGGAATTGGTTGATTTAACCAGATGTTATATTGCAGGCAATCATATGGTTTTCTTTGTTCTGAATGTGATTGAGGGAATTGGTGTGTTGCTCACATTTAAACCATTTCTTGTTGTACGAAGTTAGCGTATAGTGTGAGCATTATTTGCCCCCACCCATACATTGCTGCTGGGAAGATAGATAAACCCTACACCAAGATTGGTAGTATGTAATTTTGGAATTTAAAACAAAAAATAATATATATATATATATATATATATATATATATATATATATATATATATATATATATATAGCAAGAACATGGCCAATGCAAGAGACCCGAAGTCTATTCTAGGGGCAAGATGAGGAAATCCCCAGGGGGAACTAGAGCCTGTTCTCGAGGAGCTATGTGATTGCTTCAATTTTTATATTTTATTTTATGATGTTTGACTTAATAATTTTTATTAATTAGTTATATTTTTTTTAATACTATTAATTAGTTATATATTCCACTCAATCTTGTTAAATTATTATATTTGTATTTACATTCTATTTATCTAATAATTATAAATAATAGAAATAATAATAATAATGTGGTACGTAGTCAGATTGCATTTACAGAGAATTAATGAGTTTATATTAATTTTTTTTTTTGTCAACTACTATTTAATGTGATGATACATCTATTACCATTCTAAATAGAGGGTTATATATAGGATTAAATTTTTAAAAACAAATATTTTTTGGGTTATACTTGTGTGATCCGTGAGATGAGACGTGTCAAGTTAGGTCCATGCATATGCAAATGTAATATTAAATCAGGAATAAAATATTTGTTACTTATAAGGAAAAAAAATACTTTTGAGGATGAATTTTATACTTTTATAGTTTGATATAAAAGTATTACTTTTTTCATAAAAATTATTATATTTTTCATTATAAGTAATGTTGCACTTATAAAGGAAAATGTAATACTTTTGATAAAAAAAAAATGTACTACTTTTACATCAAGATGTAAAAGTATTACATTTTTCTTTAAAAGTATGACATTTTCTTACTAAGTAATAAACATTTTATTCCTGATTTAATATTACATTTGATAGTACAAGTGTTATATTTCATCTTAACCCCTATCGTCTCACACAAATTTTTGCCATACTTTTTGGGGCCAAAATGATTAAGCTAAATAAAGTAGGATTATTTATTCAAGTTTGGCTGACGACGACGACGACGACGACGATGATGATGATGATGGTTTTATGGCTTAGGGGTAGCCGTTTGGCGGTCCAACACTACCGTAGCCCACCTTGCAAGGTGGGCACGGTTTCAGATTCATAATTTCATTCATCATTTTTAAACTGTAGATTCATAATTTCTATACCGTAGATTCATAATTTAAATAAAGTAGATTCATAATTTCTATACAGTAGATTCATAATTTCTATACTACAGATTCATAATATCTGTACTGTAAATTCATAATTTCTAAATTGTATAGTTATCAAATTATGAACATATAGTTCAATGATTTGTGAATACAGAGTTCAACAATTGGGAATATCAAAAATTATGAACATATAGCTCTATAATTATGAACATATATTTATAAAATTATGAACATATATCTCTATCACATGTTCACAAACCTAATACTGTAGATTCATAATTTTTACACTGTAGATTCATACTGAAGACGAAACAATGCGATCGCGAAGAGAAAAACGTCGTTAACGACAAGTGAAAAACAATTTTTTTTAATTAGAAAATTATGAATCTATAGTATAAAAATTATGAATATGCAATAATTAATGCAATAAATACTTAAACTGGAGAAGGAAACTGCTTGCTGGACAAGGAAAAGAATCTCCGTGGAATCCGTTGTTGACTGTTTCGAGATGCGCACTCGGTCGGGGACTCACTGGCTGCCTGACGAGGTAACTTGAATTGGGAAGCTGAGGCCTAAGGCACTCAGGCAAGGACGCTGCAACTGCTGAGCCTGGTCACCCATCCGGGCCCTCAGAGAGAACTCGGTCGGGGACACCCCAACTACTGAGTCTGATTGCCATCCGAGTCCTCTGAGGAAACTCGATCGGGGACACGCCGACTGCTGAGCCTGATCGCCCATCCGGGTCCTCTGAGGGAACTCGGTCGGGACACGCTGACTCTAGAGCCAGGTCGCTTTACCTAAACCAACCAGCTTCCGTCGGGATACGTGTTCGTTTGCTAGCTTGGTCTCCGGGGTGCTTCGAGTGACAAGCGAGAATAACGGGTGTAGCCCTCCCTCTTGAAACCACCAAGTGTTATGCCGTGCTCGGGCCTGATTGCCCCTTCACATTTCCTAGACCGGGTGCTGAATTTAAGGTATTTATCAATTATTATTTTTTTTTTTTTTTATTATTTGTTAGGAATATAGCGGAATAATGCGAAAGCGAAGAATCAAAAATTGAGAATTATAGAAGTTAAATAATAGGAAAAATATGTAAATGACAAAATAAAAAATTACTAAATTTGGAAAATATAATATATATATATATATATATATATATATATATATATATATATATATATATATATGTCTACGTGAGAAATCAAAGAAGGAAATGAATGAATTGCAATTGATGTTGCAATGATGAGTGATTACAAAGAGAAAAAGCAAATGCTATTTATACAATAAAAAAGGAGAGAGCTTTGCGCATGAATTGGCGGAGACGTGCAAGAGAGTAGAAGTGCAGCACTGCAGCATGCGACGTGGATATAATGGTTGGACATAGTCTTGAATTAATTTGAGCCACATTCTAACAATTCCACCTTGGATCAAATTTATTGTAGAATTAACAACTGGAACAGTCGACTAAACTCAAGCACTACTTGAACTTAGCAATAGGAAAAGCCTCGGAATAGCAGGATGGATCACCATCAACTTCCTGTGTGACTGAAAGTGCATAAGCAACCATATTGGTTTCATCATCACTAGCATACCTAGCAGGTTTTTTAATTGTCCTCCTAGGACGATCCATAGCAATGGAATACTCTCGTTGTGGCTCGGCGAGAGGTGCAGTGCTAGTAGATGCATCATCTTTAGTATTACCATCAGCAGTAGTAATACTGTCAATAGGCCTGAATTCAAACTCCACCTTCTCACCAGTACTCTGCGTCTCACCTGTACTGGGAACTTTTCCAGAAGAAAGTAGTGCATTTTCATCAAAAATGATATCTCGACTCAGAATGATTTTCTGAGAATCAGGAGACCATAGACGCTACCCTTTTGATTCAGAAGCATAACCAAGGAAAATGCATTTGACAGCTCTCGGGTTTAATTTACCTATATTGGAATGAGCATAAGCAGGACATCCAAAAACTCTTAAGATACAGTAGTTAACAGGATTACCTGACCAAACTTCCTCTGGAATTTTGAAATCAATGGATGAATGTGGAGATCTATTTACCAAATAGCAAGAAGTAGAAACAGCCTCGGCCCAAAAATCACGCCGTTTCCATAACCCAGCATTAGAGAGCATACAACGAGCTCTTTCCAATAGAGTCCTGTTCAAACGTTCGGCAACACCATTCTGCTGGGGTTTATCAGGCAAGGTCTTGTGCCTGGCGATTCCATTTGTCGCACAAAAGTCATTGAAATCTGACTCACAGAACTCCAAGCCATTGTCTGTCCTGAGCTTCTTGACTTTTTTACCTGTCTGAGTCTCAACAAGTATTTTCCACTTCTTGAAAATAGAAAATGCCTGATTTTTATGTTTCAGGAAATAGACCCAGACTTTACGAGAAAAGTCATCAATAATAGACATAAAATATCTACAACCTCCCATAGACTGGAATTTAGTCAGTCCCCATAAATCGGAATGTATATATTCCAATACATCTTTGGTACGGTGTGTAGCAGTAGAGAAACTAACCCTCTTTTGTTTCCCAAAAACACAATGCTCACAAAATTGTAATTTACCCATACCTGAACCACTAAGGAAGCCTTTCTTGCTCATTCTTACATCAAATTCTTTCTCTTTATTTTGTCCCTACGTTGACATACATATATATATTTACTCTAGTGATAATATATATATTTTCCTTTATTCCTAATTATTGTGTCTTTTAATATACTTTCCCTATTATTCAACTTCTTATAATTCTCAATTTTCGATTCTTCGCTTCCGCATTATTCCGCTATATTCAACACATACGTGCATTGCGGTTCTCCATTTGTTTGCCGCATCCTATGCTTGTTCTTAGTGTATAAATAGTTTGCCCTTTTTGATTTGTAATGCACTCCTATTAAATTACTCCTCTAACATCAATTCAACAATTGAATTCTTTTCTCTCCTTCTCTTTGTTCTCACGTAGATTTATATATATATATATATATATATATATATATATATATATTCCCTTTGTTAATTATTTATTTATCATTTATATATTTTCCCTTATTATTTAACTTTTATAATTCTCAATTTTGATTCTTCGCTTCCGCATTATTCCGTTATATTCCTAACATTATTATTTTCCTTTTCTTTCAAAACTTCTTTTTACAACAAAATATCTAATGCCGTGAGAATTCTGTATAAATACTCTTAAAAGTCAATGGAAGGCTTCGTCTACGGCTGTACGCCGTGGTCTCGTTACAACTTACAATCGATCTTCATCAGATGTCTTCACATTAGCGAGGTGCAGCATAGCAAAATAACTACTATTGAAATTGATGAATTTGAGCATAATTTTGGCAAGAACTCCTCATTGGTTGTTACGTTGATTTTGAAATGAGCAAATATCAACTTTGGTCACACGAGTATTAGCAAAATAACAGTTTTAATCCACATGTTTAATTTCTACCAATTTTTATTCACGATTATTGTTTTAGTACCAATTTTCATATACGACTATTGTTTTAGTGCCAAAATTCATCACGCCGGTCAATCATTCGTTTAAGACATGCCGAAATCTAAAACTTTTAAGAGTATTTTTATCCTTTTCAACTTAAGATCCCAATTTGAACATGAATAATAAGATTTAAGCCTTAAGATCGATCCCAATTTGCAGTTCTCCTCTTCATCCTACCTTAATTTGAGTATAAGAACTGTGAATTGGGATCGATCTTAGGGCTTAAATCCCTTTATTCATGCTCAAATTGGGATCTTAATTTGGAAAAGATTAAAATAGCCTTAGTACGTAGTTTCATATTTCGGCATATATTAAACAGATGGGTGACCGGTGTGATGAATTTTGACACTAAAACAATAGTCGTGGATGAAAATTGGTACTAAAA